CACCCGGGCCCCGCCCGCAGGCCGCGCCGGGCCGAGCCCCCCCAGGTAAGCGGCGCCCCAACCGGCCGCGGCCTGGCCGCCTCGTGCCCTCCGCCCTCCGCCCTCAAGCCGCGAGGCGCTGGCGAGGGTGCGCCCCGCCTCGCGCCTGGCCCGCCGCCAGGCCGCCATCTTGCCGCGCGGAGACGCCGCGGCCTCCGCCCCGCCCGCCTCAGCCCGCTCGGCCCGCTCGGCCCACCGCGCCCTCATCTCCCGCTGCACCCTCGGACCCGGTTATGGCCCGCGCCCGCCACGTCCCGCCGCCGCCTTTCCTGAAGGGAGGGAGGAGGGGAGGGGGACGGCGGGCGCGGGCAGTGACCTTCTGAGCGACGGCTGGGTTGGCCAATAGGGGCCCAGAGAGGAGGGTCGGGCCCGCAGTGCCGCCTCCCGGGCTCTGCTGATTGGCTCTGGTGAAGGGGGCGGGGGCCCATGGGTTTGGAGCCTGGGCGGGGTCGGAGGACCGAGGAGAACCGGGCCGGCGGGCTCGGGTGCTGGCGGTAGCGGAGGGCTGGGGGGGGGGAGGCGGTGCCGGGCCGGGCGTCCCGGGCGCGCGTGCGTGTATGCGTCGTGCGTGTGGGTGGGGCGGGGCCACGGCACCTAGGAGGGGAGGGGAGGAAGGGCGGTGGCGAGGCCGGGAAGGGTCATGTTATGCTGGGCTCCAGTTCGGTAGAAAGAGTAAGCAGAGACCCGGAGAAACCCAGCTGTCCGTGAGAGGGCCCCGGAGTCATTTTGCGGGGCCCAGCAGTTCTCCGGGAGGCGACGTGCGGGGCTGGGACCCTGCTGCCCAGATCTCCAAACGCGTGGGTGGGATTGAGTGTGCTGTCGCTATGTGTAGACACGCACACGGGTACAGGCATCCACACATTTGCATCCACACAGATACAAGCATGCGTGCATACATGCATGTGGGCGTGCAGTTATGCACGTACATGCGTGCACACAGGCATGCAGACACATGCACTTGTGTGCAGACACGTGTGCACGTGCAGACACGAATGCACACGCACAGGCATACATACACATGGACACACATGCGAAATGAGTGGCAGTGCTTAGCAGTGCTGGGGTTAACACTGGACACCTCTTTGCAGTGTGGTTTTGAGTCGGTAACAACCTTTCGGAGCTTCGGTGTCCTCATCTGGACAGTCCCCTAGAATGAAAGATGAAGTGAGTGAGTGTAAGTAGTGTAGAGAAGCTCCTCACATAGAATACCCAGTAAAACATGGGGTTGGTGTCTTGAAGTGCATGGTCTCCTAGCCACTGCGCTCCTTCAGGAATAAGAACAATAGCATTTTTAGGCAGTGCATTGGAACTCTGGGATTTGACCCTTGTGTTTTCAACTACTCATTTGGCAGGCAGCCGGTCCAAAAGTGTATTTGGAGGCCAAGGTGAGAGGAGCACGAGTTGGAGGATAGCCTGGGTGACACAAGACCCTGTCTCAGAAAAAGAAAAAACGTGGAGTAAATATTATGTGGAAGTACTTTGTGTGAGTACTTGCAGTTGGCAGGACTCTTATGCAGGCGTGATGATGTCTGGGCCCCACCAGAACCCATGAGTCAGCAGAGGCCCTTTCCTCCTCCCTATTGAAACCTTCCCAAGGTTGCCATGGTTTTCCTACCCGGCTGGGCCCTTGCATTGTGGCTTGCCAGGCATCCCAGGATGTCCCCTGCTGGGCCTCACCTGGAAGAGCTGTACTTTCTCCCCTCCAGTCTTGGGGGTCTTGCCTCCCTTCTTAGGAGTCCTCTCTCATCTCCACCACCAGTTGGAATCAAAGGTCTTGGTCGATTTTGTGTCACTTTGCCCTGCAACCTCTGGCTCTGTGTAACCACATGCACCCTGTTGGGACTGATTAGGCAGAGATGATTTTGCTCACCCTGTGTGTGCACCAGCGGTCAGCAGAGTGCCTGGCACCATCTCTTGACATTAGTGTTGTCACTGATAACAGTTGCTGCCTGTTCATGATGTCTTTCTATGGTACAGGTACTGGTCCAACCACACAGCGGCACTACCCTGCCTGGAGGTAAAAATGGATGAGAGGACCCATTTGCATCCTTATTTTTCCCACAGATATGCTGATTTATCTTAAGGCAAGAAAAGAATAATTTATTAAGTTAATTATAGATTTAACTACATGAAAATTAATAGGTTCATGTGTGAAAAAAATAAATAGCCTAAGTATCATTGCCAGGAAACAAAGCACAAATCTAACATGATTTTCTTGAAATAAAAATTCTCATCTTCGTTCCTCTTACCACAGGGGATCAGAGAACAAGAAGAGGCTGTCGTGGGGTGGCAGGGAGCCAGAGCTGAAAGTCTCTATAGCCATTAATAGCGAATTCTTATCTTGTCAAAAATGAATTGATTCATGCAGTGGGATTATGGAAAATCACCTTTTAATTGCTTTTACTGAGGTTAAAAGCAAATTTTGCAAAGTATGTATATGTCAAGCTTCCACTGGACAGGGCTGGGGATTTAGCTCCGTGGTTCCGGCGCCTGCCTCACAAGCACAAGGTCCTGAGTTCCATCTCCAGTACCAAAAAAAAAAAAAAAAAAAACCAAAAAAGCTTCCACTGGAAATTCTGGTGAAATTCTGGTGAATATGTTGACTTGTTTTATACAGCACAGATGTTTAAATAAAATGTCTTACACTATTTTAAAAGACAGCAATAGTCGAATTTTTTTTTTAATTCTTTGTTCATTTTTGGGTGTTTCTTTCCTCTCCTGTTCAAGGATTTTTGGTGTCATTTTTTTCAACCCTTGACTCCTTGAACTAATTAGGGGAACCAAAAAAAACGATAGTTTAATAAAAAAGCTGTATATTGTCTTACACCATTAAGTTGCTTATATATTGCTTCCATTCTTTTTTTTTTTTTTGGTACTGGAGATCGAACTTGGGTCCTTGCGCTTGTGAGGCAGGCAGCCGAAACCACTGAGCTAAATCCCCGGCCCTATATTGCTTTCAATCATTGTGTTTTTGGTGCCTTGAAGTTTTGTGATTGCGATCATGCCTGTGTAGAGAGAGAACCCTTTAGATAAGGTCTTGCTATGGCACCCAGGCTGGCCTTGAACTCCTGAGCTCTGGGGATTCTCCTGCCTCAGCCCTCTCAGTAGTCCAGACTACAGGCTCTTGCTGAGCAGTTTTTCATGCTTGTCTTCAAGAAGTCAAGTGTGGCGTGAGGGAGACAAAAGACTTAAGTAGTTCCCCGTGTCCTGGGGAAGGGAGATTCCCGCTGGGACTGGGGCTGGGGTAGGACCCACTCATAAAACAGGGCAGTGAGTGTGTGTGACACCACTGCCTGAGTCTCTGCACACTGAGGTCTCCTTAGAATGTGTCTTCAAGCACCTGCATGGGCTCCTTTGGACCCAAAGCACCTCCTAGAGGGGCCGCACATGTCACCTTGTGCCACCACACAGGGAACATCAGTGATGAGGCCTAAGATTGCCCAGCTGCACCTGTCATGCAAAACTCCCCTGGCAGCCTGTAGTGCTCCTGGCTTTTGTTTACATAGTACCAACTTTCCCTTATGAGTGGTCATCACCTTTGACCCGGTGGGTACTTGGAGACCTGTCATCTGCATGCTGTGAAACACGCATTCTTTCTTACTCATTGGCAACCCGGTTCCCCTGGAGGCTGAGATCCTCTGTTGTTCCCTCCCTTTGCCCCTGTCACCTGTCACTCACGGCCGTCCCGGGTGGCTCATCTTTTCTGCAGTTGCCCTAGTTTGGAATCTCGAGCAGCAGGGCTCTGTCCTTAAAACAGGGCTGCCCAGGAGCAATGGTTCAAGGTACATAGCTCAGTGACACAAGGAGGGGGCTGTGGCATGGGCATTCTATATGGGGACAGCAAAAGCAGCTTCAGACCCTGGGAGATGGTGTGGGGTTGGAGGGTGAGCTGTTAGGGACAAGAAGAGACAGGTTGGTTCAGACCTTAACTGTCCCTCCTGATATGTCCCAGACTGTGGTGGCCTCTGCTGATGTGGGTCCACCCCGGGAGCAAAGCATGGCTTTAGGGCCAATAAGTCCCTCTCCTGAGTAAGAGACCTAAAGTCCTTGATCCAAAAGCCCCGCCCCACTCCTGAGATGTTGGTGTGTGAACAGAGAGGAGTTTGTTCTGAGACTCCAGGTAGAGGGGAAGCCTGGCTTCCCCTGTCTAGGTCAGCATGAGGGGAGAGGAGGTCAGGGCCTGGAGCGGAGGCAGTTGGGTGCAAACTGGAGGCGTACCTTCCTTGCCTTCATTGCTCTCGTAGTAATAAGAACCATGCAGGATATGAAGTGTTTCCTGTCCGGCTGCCATCAGTGCCTGCTATGCTCCTGCGAGGCAGGCACATCTGCCCTGAGAAGGCCTCACCCCTGAGCCCAAGGAGTTAACACCCTGTGCAGGTGTCAGGGGCAGTCACTCGTGTGCATTAGCCATAGGATGTTTCAGAAATGCTATTTGTCCCTACCTCATTTCCCCCCATTGCTTTTGTAACAACACATCTTTTTCCTGGGCTAATGAATTCTTTGGGATTATTGAGAACATTTCATTGCTATACCAAAGCTAAAAGCAGATCTCAAAAAGTAAAGGGCTGGGGATTTAGCTCAGTGGTTTCACTGCCTGCTGCGCAAGCACAAGGACCTGAGTTCGATCCCCGGTACCAAAAAAAAAAAAAGTACGTATCAGTCCTCAGCAGAGAAGGCTGGTGATTAGAGAGTGTTTGTTGACTTATTTAATTCAAGGTTTTAAAGGAATAAAATGTAAATTTGTGCTGCCTGTTTATTTTCTGAAGAAGCACAGGATGGTTCTTCTTTGAAATAGTTGAGTGGTAGAGCATGTGCTTGGTATGCGCAAGGCTGGGGTTCATTCCCCAGCACCAAACACAACCGAAAGCAGAAAGAAAATCTCCAAACCCAGCAGAGGTAGCAGCATGCTGTCAGGCGTGTGCATGGTGAGCTGTTGCTGTCATGTGAGCTGGCATTAGGCACTAAGTGTCCTTTGGCTGTAAAGGGGTGCAGTGGGCCACAGGCCC